GTGCTTGTTGCTGATGATTTCACTTTTGAATTCCATACAAATGACTCGGATGGATATCAATTTTGCAATTCTATGATATTGTGATTGAGAGGATCCGGATTTGGGTATGGTTTGCAGGCTACAATGGCGTTTGTATCATGAGTACAGCATGGAAAGACGAACAGCATCCATCCTTCATCAACTTCATCTCCTCGTTTCTTGATGCAAACTCTTACAGATTAAATTTTGTGCCGATTGCTCCTGTATTTACTCTACATCTCTACTTTGCTCATACGCAGCTTTATTGGTAATGTCATTTTCCTCTACCTGAGTAGCTTCTGTATTAATTGATTTGCAGGATTTCATCTTTAACACCGGAGGTCTTTCTGTAGCCTTCATATTTGTGACCAATTGGGATGTCGAGTGTGCTGAACCAATCTTTAGCAAGTAAAAACTCTGGTATTTATTGATCATAGTCTGCCCTTCTGGATTTTTGTCGTTCTAAATTTTCACCTGCTTTTGTAGGATTTCGAAGATGAGTAGACAGTTTGCCAACTTCTATGTGGCTGTTACTCTCCCGACCAAGGATCAGAATGACTCCTTCATACGTTCTTATTTCAAGTTAGTACAACTATTGATTTTATTCTTTTATCTCATGTTTTGGGAATTCCATTTTTAATGGTTAACAAGATGCACGTTTGTGTAAGATACGGCATGGAGTTTGGTAAGCCGACTTTCATTCCTGTGAAAGACTTGGAGATGGGGTTTGAAAAGATTGTAAAGGTAGCTCATGCACGTGGAGGTAAGGATGTGTTTGGTATCCTATGATTATGCAGAACTTTGATGCCCATATGTTGAATTCAATACCGAGCATTCCACTGCAGTTTGCAAGAGGCAGGATGCAATAGCTAAACTGAAGGCTGAGGTCTGTTGATTGGACCTTTATTGTGCGATTTGTAATTGGCTATTTAAATTTTGCATATTAATAACAAAATGTTGATAAAATTTCAGAGAGAAAAGTCAGTGCAGTCCATGGACCTGTACATCAAAGTGGTTACATCCATTCCTGGAATTGATAGCCATGATGCTAACGCGGTCAGTGCTTAATTTAATGCCTGATTCTTGCAGTTTACTTTGTTTTTCTCCAGTTTATTAAGATTACAACCAACTATTGCCTAAAATTACTAAAATATATTTCTCACGCGCCGTGCAGCTCAACCAAGCCGTTGGTTCCATAGAAGCAATAGCCAAAGCATCAAAAGAATACATTTTGGAGAATACTGATCTTTCAACCGAGAAAGCTGAGACTGTTGCAAAATTTTTCAGAGACCCGAAGTATTACCTTGGTCCCAAAATTGGATGAACTTGGAGTTTTCCAAGCTAGTATACTGTTAACCGCCTAGAAATGGTCTTTGTCAATCTCACATTTTAAGGTTTTGTTGCACATTTGGATCTCTTTTTATTTTTTTCATCTATGCTGGTGTCCTGAGAAAGCAAGGTATAGTATAATTCTGAGAGTTCAACTTTAGGCACTGGCCACATTCTGGAATTGTCTCTCCCTACTTTAATTCTGTATAAAATTAAAGGTCTGTTGGAGCTTTTATGAAACTGAACTTTACATGTGCATATATATGAGGTTTGTATGTGCTTGATGCTACTATTATGCAAAAACTAATCAATGAGGCCAAATAATCACATGAAGATCGATCATAGTTTGCTGAGCAACATGAAGATGTTTTAAACTTAAGAAACAATCTGCTATCATTTTTCCCTATCATTAGCCTTGGCTTTAAAGAGGTTTACAAAAAGCTGAAAGCATGTGTTGAGCACAAAAAACTAGCAGTCCACTTTTATCTTCCTTTGCAGAGGAAATTAGCCAACATACAAGCCACTTATGTCTCTGGATACTCATTTCATACAACCTCAGCTAAACAGATAAACAACAGTTCTTAAAACAATCAATCATTATCTGCAGAAATAACTTAGCACCTTTCATTAACAAAACAACAATAGCTACCTAGTAAATCATCAGAGCTGCAAAATCCCATTGGAATCAAGAAATGTAAAAGTAAAACAATCTCCAGCTTCGACCGAGAAGAAAGACAAACGAGCCAAGCACAAACCAATCCTAGGCCTTCCAAGTTGTGGATCATAAGCCAATGAACTTATGAAGGTGCACCAAGATACGATGCCAACCGCAATATGTCACTAAAGACTCCTCCAGCTGTAACCTCAGCCCCGGCACCCGGACCACGAACAATCAGCGGTTGCTTTTCATACCTCAGAGTTGAGAAAGCTATTATGTTGTCAGATCCTGAAAGCTGGGCAAACGGGTGCTCTTTCTTGTATTTGCGTAGCTCGACAGTTCCTCGTTTGTTGATGACATCGACCACCCCAACATATCTCAAGACCTTCACATATTTGTTGAGCTCATGAGTTTATGAATACATACATTCAACACTTATTTCAGAATTCTGTCTTCTATTTTTTTCCAATTCTGTATTTCATATCTACCTAAACAATGAAGGTCCATTGGAAAACTTTTCAGATAATGCCATCCCTAACTGGGTTTGCTTCCATTTTACTCAAAACTTATGTTTTCTTTTCTGAAATTCCACTCAGAGATAAAAGTTAAAAGTGCTTACTTCACCAGCAGCTTCAGCCTCCTGTCTTTGCTTAGCCATGTCTTGATCGTATTGAGGAAGCTGCTGCATGAACTCCTCGGCCGAGGTGCAACCCTGAAATTATAAAGCATCAGAAAGTCAAATCAGATACCAAATAGTGTTTCTGTTGAGCAGCTGTACTAGTGAATTTTGCTCTCGCCTTTAATGGGTCTGGCACTAGGCTCTGAACGGGGATATCCGACAATTCTAGCTTCAACCCAGATTCTCTGGCAAGAATTATCACCTGGACCACAGAAGCTACTTTATAAGAGCAAAATATATATTAATAGGCATTCAAGTTAGAGATAAAGGTATCAAATGGCAGAGATTCCGGGTGTGACGATTTTCAGAATGAAATTAAGGTGTTGTGTGCAGGTTGCACGGATTTCAGCGAATCCAGTGTATGAGCTAGCATTCATGAGTTAAAAATAAATAAATAAAGGAAAAAAGAGATATTAGGGGGAGATTTCGCGCAAGTTTATTTCAGAACAAGTGTTTATTCAAATGAAACCAGACTTAGGTAGCGTTTGTAAATCAAAGCTAAAAGTTTGTTTATAAAAGAACACGAGAACCCGTATCAGAAAATTAAAGGCACCGTTCCTTTTTTTTTCATTTTTTTTTTTTACGTATGTTTGTGTTGCTTGCTTACAGTTAAATCATTTCCCCCTTTAAACGGATTTTGCTAAAGACGACAAGAAGATAAACATGATAATCATATTAAGAACAGATATTATCCAAAAAAAGAAAAAGAACAGAATTAACAGGTCATACCTTCCTAGCCACATCAGTTCCAGATAAATCATCCCTAGGGTCTGGTTCAGTGTAACCTGCCTCTTTTGCCTCCTTTACCACTTCACTAAAACTCCGGGCACCCACAAAGTTGTTAAATATGTAACTTAATGTTCCACTGCACGAACACATTATAACTATTAGTCAGTAAACAGAAGCATCTTTGCATTCCCTCCTAATGAATTTAGGACCTACATTAAATTCCCTCAAAAAACAATGCCGCAAACTTTTTACTTTTTATTTTTTAATTTATATCAGAACTAGAAACACAATTTAACAAAACAAACCTAAAAATGCCTTCAACTCGCAGTATTTTATCCCCAGTTTCAAGGAGGCCTTGCAAGGTGGTAATGATTGGCAAACCGGCACCAACAGTTGCTTCATAAAAGTAATGCGTATAGGATTGTCTCTGAAGAGTCCTCAACTTCAAATACTACATTTCAGAGGGAATTAAAAGAAGTTACAAATTGCATAAAACTAAAAAATAAAAACATCAATCGTTCAAAGGACATAGAATTGCTGGAAAAATTCAGTAAAAAAAAATGTCGAAATTGCAAAATTTACCAACCAAAAAATTGTAGCTGCAGCAGTATTAGAGTATTATTTATTACACCTGGTCAAGTGGTCCTGAATTGGCTTTCTTATTCGGGGTAATCACATGAATCCCACGACGCAACCAGTCATGGTAATGGCTTGCAATTAAAGAGTCAGCAGTGCAATCCACTATAGCCGTATTCGGAATAAAATGATTCCTGTGCACATGTTGAACAAATTTCTGCATGTCCGCCTTTTCCCCTTTCACCTTTTGGAGATCTCTCCATTCTGACAAGTCAATGCCCCTAAAAAAAAGTCAAGCAGATTTATTTAGATTGGGAAGGGTGAGGTTCCTAATCGAGAAATATCTCCATGATAAAAGAATTGGTATCGGAGTGAGACAATACAGGTAATAATTATAGAAACTTTATATGTACTTAAAATTGTTGGAAGTTGAATCATTATTTAATGCACGAGGATATCCGTAATTATCGAACTTACGTATCACTCAAGAGCATAGTCTTTGATCCTGTAATACCCATCACCCGGAGATCAATGTTGAAGTTTTCCTTGAGGATTGCTGCCTACACAGTCAATGAAATGTATAAACGATCTATATATTATCTATGCTAACACACAAATTTGACGAGTCTAAATATTCAAAAGCTAACTACTCTAATTAAATAAAAGGAAATTTTTTCTTAAAAACCTGATCTCTGAGTTGATCCAGCAATGTTCCACCAATCAACCCAGGCCCGATAATGCCCATTGCTATAGTAGTCCTTGATAGATAAAACCTCGAGTGCACTGCTCTTAATGCTTTTATGCAATCTTCTCGCTTGAGAACCACAGTGACATTATATTCAGAGCAGCCTTGAGCTATAGCACGTATATTTATATTAGCCTGCAAAGGACATGGTTAAGAATCAATATACACCTGATCAATACAGCTGGTAATCGTATTTTAATTTTATATTATTATTGGTGGAGACGAAGATAGAAATAAACACACATGCATGCATACAAACACACACACACACACAACAACAACAACAACAACAACAACAACATACCCAGTATATTCCCAACAGGTTGGGGTCTGGGGGGTCAGTTGTACGCAGACCTTACCCTTGTAATTATACAGGGAGGCTGTTTCCGTAGCGACCCAAGGTGCATTGCGCCGTTTGATATATTTTTTTTTTCTAGAAACTTCACTAATAGAAGAAGCACTAGAATTTAATTGAGCCATTTTGATCTAGTCCATTATTAGCACTATGCCAGGAGAATTGTCAACAATGACTCTTCCAGCTCCATTTGCAATGGACAAAACACACACACACACACACACACACACAAAAAAAAAAAAATCTGCAAGTTTTCTAACCTTAGCGAGAGCATTGAAAAGTGTAGCACTAACTCCAGGGGTACTCGCCATTTTCTGGCCAACCGCTGCCAAAATGCTACAATTTGGAATAACTGCAATCTGTAAAAGCCGCAGATAATCCAGAAATTAATGTAAAATCAGGTAATATTGATCTTGGATGCAATTGAAGATAACTGCAACTTCAGCATTAATCTTTTCATATTGGTTCATACACTCTAGAAAAGCAAAAGTACCTGAGAAAGACGACCAGCATCCAGAGCCTGACGAAATCTAGACTCTAAAGCTGCAGCTACAGCTTTTACTTCATCTTCAGGTACAGCAAAACACACGGAATGTTCACTGCTGGCCTGTGTTAAATTAATCGATAAGATCCAGAGTGAGACTCCACATTATGCATTATGAGAGAGAGAGAGAGGGAGAGAGAGAGAGAGAGAGTAAAAGTACCTGGGATATCATGATTACATTAGCTCCGACATCTTTCACAGCACCAAAAATGGCGCTAGCAGTACCAGGAACACCTGCCATTCCAGTTCTGTAAAAAATATTTGCCATAAACCACAATCACCATAATGTAAGATACGTCAAAAGTCAAAACATTGACTTAGCAGTTCATCGTTTATCATAATTCTACGAATGAAACCGACCCTTCAACATTCACAAGCGCCAAATTATCAATAGTTGCAAATCCTTTGACTGGAGACTCAACTTGCTGGCTATCTTCATTCTCGAGACCAGCAGGTCGGCATATCGTGGTCCCAGGCGCAGAAAGGTTGAAAATATTTCTTATAACGATTGGAATGTCATATTTCATGACAGGAATAATTGTCCGAGGATGTAGAACGTTCGCACCAAAGTATGACTGCACAAATACGAGTGATTGATAATCAATATAAATATTAAGATAAAAAAACTCAGTGATGCACTAACAGACAGTAATTGAGAAAGTCCCTTACCATTTCCCACGCCTCCTGATAAGACAATGTCTTCAATATCACAGCTTCACTAACTGCCAAAGGCAATTTAAAAATAAAAATAAAAGTTGGAAAAGAAAAAAGAGTGGAAAGTTGCAATGTCTTAAATAGTCACAATAATGAATCAGTAAACCTTTCCGGGGGTCTGCACTGTAAACACCATCCACGTCAGTCCAAATGGTGACTTGACGTGCTCTGAACAATGCACCCATAATTGCGGCAGAAAAATCACTTCCATCACGCTTCAAAGTTGTGGGAATATTCTTAGGCGTACTGGCAATAAACCCTGTTGCAACAATTGTGTCGGATTTATTTTCAGCGTACCACTTCTCAAGCTTTCGGCTCGATTCCAGATAATCGGGATCCACTTGATTAGAACTCGTCGGGTTTACAATAAGGACCTCCCTTGTGTCCATGCAAGTACATTCTACCCCGTTCTACAACGACAAGTAAAAAATTAGCAACAATTATATTGGTGAGCAGAACATGCTGATGTAATTAAATTCATAAAGTTTCTCAACGATAAAAAAAACACCTTTCTAACAACAGCAGAAAGCAACTGGGCAGACCACAGCTCACCATGTCCAACCACAAAATCGGAAAAAGATTCGGTCGCGTGACCAGCTGCAATAAATTAAGCATTTTGCTCATTTCTAGTACATGTACCAGGAAAGTATAAGGGAATGCGTAGTTCAAAAAAGCAAAGAATGCATATAAATAGGCTGTAAGTGGCAGCATGGTTTGAGCAGACATGTCTCAACCAGCCTTAAGGGGAAAATTATCAGAAAAAAAAAAACATATAAAATAAATCAAAAAGGGAAAAGAAATAAAGGAAAGGCAGCTCCTCGGCACAATAAAATTGAAAGATTGAAAATGTAATCACCTTGTTAGGCATCCTCAAAGAACTCAAAACATAATTAAAAGAACCACTAGAGACTGGATAACTGAAAAATGTAAGTTTCTTTTCACACCTTTTATAGAAAGATTGATGTATGCCAAATTGACCTATTTTTTCTTCTAATTGCAAGAATATACTTTTTCTGTTCGTTTTCATGTTCTGTAAATACTAGGAGACAAATAGCTAACTTTTGACCTGTTCTTCTTCTTCTTCTGTAAGCAAGAAACTACAAACGCAATGTCAAACACTCAGTTCCATAGATAGTTCACATAAAAATCAGATGCACTGCAATGAAGATTACCCCTTTTATGGTACAAATCAGCAATCTTTAGGCATTATCAGAGGAAAAGGAAAAGAAAAGGCCATACCAATATAAATCGCACGCAGCATTGCCTTAAGGTTATTAATGTCCTCATGCAATCGAGCCAAGAAATTTGACAGCTCAGCTCCATCAAGTAGATCGAGTGCCGTAGACTTGTGTTTCTCCAAAACAGCATCCAATGCACTCACGTAAGAATCATCCCTGGTCTGTGCCTTGCGTATCAGATCGTACATCATATCAGTCACCTTTGACATAGCAGACACGACAACCAATCTTCTTTCGGAAACATCCTTAACAACAATGTTTGCAACGTTTCGTATTCTTTCAGAAGTTCCAACACAAGTGCCGCCAAATTTATGAATCGACCAACTGTCACCCTTTGGGAGCTGTACTTGTTCAACAGCATCATCCAGCAGAACATCTGTACATTTGTGATTGTGATCCACGAGAAAATAAGAGAATATTAGTATAGAGTGTATTTTAATGAGTTCTAGTAAAATATTTGTAAGAATAAAATATTGAGAAACCTGCACTTGTAACTGAAGCAAATAGATTAGAATTTGACGAGTTCGTCCCTTGCGACTGCAAACTGGAAACTGCTCTGTGATTGAGAAATGAGAACAGCAAAACATATCTTAAGCAGTAGGCAAAACATGCATAAGGAAGAGAACATGTGGAACAGATAAGATAAAGCCCATAGCAAAAAAATCCAACTTAGCAACCCAAAAGAACTTATAACCTTTCAAAAGGAAGACACACATTTTGTGCAGCAGTAAAGCATTTTTCAGTCTATAGTAACAATTTCACCAAAAAAAAACAAAAACTAAAAATTGAACATTGTGTTGGTACTGTGCAATTGATTGGTGATGCTCCATTGAGGGTCGATGATCGATTTGTTCTTTCCTTTTTCTTTTTCGTGTAAGAGAAACTAAAGCACATACATTCTGCAGATTGAATGAAGCTAACTACACATATCTGAATCTAGCAAAACTTTCAATAATTGTGAAATACCAGGCACACATTAATGAAAAAACAATCACGGTTCCCGTTCGTTAAACTTTAGTATGACAGAACAGCAAAAATTACTGAAACTATTATTAAATCCAAAGGAAATAAAAAAAATCTTTAGTACCTCAATTCATTTCCCATTTACATAAAAATAGGGAAGCTTCGATTATTTCGAATCATCAAAACAATGAAAGCTCATTCAATCATCAAAACAATAAAAGCTCATTCAACAAGCCCACCAACACAGAAAAACAACAAGAACTCAATCGTGGAAAGTCGAATTGACCCACACAAACTGAACAATACAAAAAGGTTTTACCTGAAAATGGGAGGTCGCTGGAGGAGAGAGAAAGGATGGATCTTGTTGAATGAGGTTAAAATCTTGGTGGGTTTTGAAGAGAGGGCGGGTAGATTACAGGGTGGAGATAGGGACGAGGCGAACGCCATTGCTAGCTGCAGTGTCGTCCCTGTGAGAGAGAAAGAGAGAGAGAGAGAGATTTATTTGGCGGCTGATTATTAGTTCGAGTCTATGATTGTGGCGAGTGTGTGCATCTGGGTATGTAGTATGTACTTGTTACTATGAACTATTTAATATTCTTCAACTTTTTTATTTATTTTACTTTATGTTTGATTATAATTTAAATTTTACTATTCAATTAATATGTTATTTTTATTATTTTAATTGTTTTATAAATATTTGTGTTTTTCATCTGTTAGATCAATTTACTATTTGATTTGTAATGTGTTACAAATTTGGTTTTTTTTTTTTTACAAAGATGATTTGATAAATTACTCCTTATGGTTNAAAGAAAAAGGACTGGAGTGTTGCAAGAGAATGCTGGTTCATCTTGACCAAAAATCTTATAAATTTAAACTTTATACTAAATAGTTCTGACAAAAAATATTGTAAATTATGATAATATTTTGACGAAAACTATTATGCACATACATATAATGGCAACTTGTACCGAACATGGTCTATGGTCAATCAGCAGAGATCATATTATCCTGAACCTGATTTAATATATTTATTCATACAAGTCAAAGTAATCAGAACATGTTGACCTAATTAACTGAAATAACCCTTCTCACCCAATAATTACAATTTTGGTATGTCCAAACTCCAAACCATAAAAGGTGCATGCAAAATGGAGACTCACCATAACGACTTTTTACTTGTTTTCTGAGATAATACATAAATAAATAAAAAAAAATAAAAAATTCTGGTCAAAATTGAATAAAACAAAGATTTTCTAAAAATCCATATAATCACGAGCCAACTAGACATTCTGGGAATGCTTACCCCGTTTTGGACTTGCAATAGTCATATATAGTTCTTACGTTTGTTATTTCCTTATAGACCATTTGTTGCTCTTTGGTGAGACTCCATTTTTCCGGTGCATTCCAATAGAACTAGTGTGTATCCCGTGCGCTGCACGGAGGGGTTTTTACTTAAAACCTTTTCTAAGACTTTATATTATACATAATTATTTATATTTAACATCTTATTATTATAAAAAAAGAAATACTAAATATGAAAAATTATATATTATTTATTTGAATATAATGAGTGTCCCAACCAAACTAATAACATCCAACATATGATATATGATAAAATTAATTATATGATCGTCATACTTTTTGAAAAAATATACATATATTTCTAATAAACATGTAAGATCCGCATTTAAATTTGTATTTGGATATGGGATGAAAAATGAATATGTACAAATAAAAAAGTACCAAGAACCTACATAAAATGAGATTCTTTATAAACTCTAAAATATTTTGTAGTTAAGCAAATATTAACAAACAAAATCATCAATTAAGTTGAACTTATCGAATATAAAATATAATTTATGATATCATTGACCATATTTACCCGTTGTATTTAAAGTTATCATTGACCATATTTTTATGAATTAGGGTTTACAAAATATCTTTTTCAAAATAACAATTTTTTTTTTAATTTGAATTTGGCTTTTTCATCCAACCGCCATTTTCCACAAGAATAAAAATAGTATTTTGGAAAATTTTAGACGTGAAAATCAAATAAAATTAATTTAATAGTAATCGATTAATTTAATATTATTCAAAATTGTTTAATTCGGTCAACCCGATCTTAGTGCACGTTTCATTGAAACAATCGCTTACCAAAAAAAAAGGTAATCGCTTACAAAAAAAGGAAGTGAAATCTATCTATATAATATAAATCAGATTTGAAAAAAAAAAGGAAATGAAATTTCATAATTAATTAACTTAAATTGATGTTATTCGATTTATATCAACTCCCTTCCAAAAAAAAAGGAAATATCCGATTCCTACCAAATCGATTCAAAAAAAGAAGGATTATGATATACGTCCAAATAAATTACAATTGAAATGTAGGCGGGATTATGAAAAAAAAAATAAAAAAAACTTTACCGAATGTTTGAAAAAAAAATCGGATTAAAAAAAATTAAAAGGAAAAAATTCAAAACGTGAAATTAAAATTAAAAACGTGAATTAAAATTAAAAAAATTAAAAATACAAAATTTACCAAATCTCAACCCATCAAAAAAAAAGAAAATCGAGTGAAATAAAACGTGAAAAAAAAGGAAAAGCGAGTGAATTAAAAATGTACCAAATCGGATTTTAAAAAAATGGTAACAAATCTCATCTCATCCTAAAGAAAAGGAATTATAACAAATTTAACAAAAAAACAACCAAATCTTATCCTAAAATAAAACAATCCGATTTCCATAAATCACATCCAAAATCAAATTAAGTTAGGCGGGATAAATGAAAAAAATTCAAAAAGAGTTTCCAAAACAGGTAATTTTCGAAAAATTTGAGAGGGAAAAAATGATGTTTAAGCGGGAAATGAAATATTTATTCAAACATTTTTCCTTCTCCGTATTATATAGTAATAGATTCTGAAGACGAGCATTGTTTAGGCTCTAATTCTTTGTACGAACAACCATTAACTTCGAATGAACGATAACTCGCTACGAATGGCCCACGAGCCCAATCGGTGGACCGTAGCCATTGAGGTGCATTCCATACGCTCCCGTGTACAAACATTGGAAGCTTCAGATATTTTGCTCCAATTGATGTAAGGTTTTTGAAGACCCTAATTGGTATCTTGTCGACTATAAATCTGTGAAGCAAAAAATAAAATCATGATAATTTCTATATAGTTTAATGGAAAATAGGCTTAGTTATGACAATTTCTACATAGTTTAATGAACACAATCATTATAGTATGAGTATGCATTTCTATTTAAAAAAAGTATGACGATCAACCTGCCTAACGATTAGGTTACCTCATACAAGAATTTGCGAAAGTATATTCTATCTTGTCAGATTTATATATTGGTCAATTGACTTATCGAATCATGTGCTGATAGGATCGGAATTATTGATCATTCTAGTAATATTATAATAAAAAAACTAATTAATCTTATTTCAATAATTCAATCGGTAAATCATTTTGACAAATAACACACGATTTCGACAATATATATTTAAATAAGATAAAATTAAGAATAAGAACATACACTATTTGATGGTCATTCCACATGATCTCATATTCATGGAAATCCAAAGTGGGATCAAACCAAAGGTTGATTTGTTGCTCCCTATGACCAGAATCTTGGGTGAAGACATTAGTGCTGAGTACATATGGAGGCCCATTGCTGCCCAATAACTCGAAGTCCACTTCATCGTGGTTGCCCTCTGGAGCTTGATCAGGTGTTGAGATTAACTGTATACAGTAAATTTAAATTGAAATGGTGTAAAAAAAAAAATAATTGAAAGAAAAAAAATAGTTAGCAGTATATTAAAGTTGATCAGTTTAATTGTTATTTGTTTTTGAATTCTTACATAAAATGTAGTGTCAATTCCCTCAGAATATGCTGGAATTTTCAAGTTTATTCGAAAATGGCCAGAGCCACATGCAACCTTTGATCTAAATCCACCTCCTCTTGTATCATGTCACAAATATCTATCTATATCTATCTATATATATATATATATACTACTCTAAAAGGACGAGTGTTTTTGTAAAAATATGAATTACCTAAAATAACCTTATTTTGACATATTTTTAATGGCAAATTAGTAATACAGTAATACATATTTTAATTTATATTTTTAATTAAAAAAATAAATTACCTAAAAAACCCTTACTTTAACATGTTTTTAATGGCAAATTAGTAATACACTAATGCCTATCATATCTTATAATTTTAATTAATAACTAATGCTTAATTACTTAAATACAAATACATGAACAATACATTTCACATCTCCTAAAATCAAACACAATATTCACGCACCATTATTTCTCACGAAATTGCTTTCTTCCACATATCTCCCAAAAATCAACCTAACATCAACCTAAACAATAAAGTTTTGAAAAGATATAGAATTGTTGTTTTAAAAAAAAAAAATCCTTGTTTTTAATATAATTTTATACATTATCTGACAAACTAGAAAAGTTGAACAATTCATTTAACTACTTCATTATTTAAGAAAAGTAAAATCTTATATTTAGAATTAGAATAGAAATTGCACTTTAGTCTTACTGGATGGAATTTTGATCCCACAAAAATCGTCATTTGTTTGTTTGTTTGTTTTTTTCCAATTTTAGTCACAAAGTGAATAAAATTAACGAATTTTCACTTGACCATTAAATGGTTAATATCAAGGTGAGTAATATTTTAATTATTAACAATTAAAATATATGAATTTTACATTCAATAATTAAGTAAAATATCATGAGATTTTAATTATTATTATTTTATATGAGCCACTGATTTTAAAAATGTGTGCTAAATAAAAGAATGATTTGAAAGTAAAAAAAAATAATAAATCTGATGAATAACATTAAAAATATAATTAAGGTGTTACGCTTGCTAAAAAATATGAAAACAAATAATAAATAAAAATTTTATAATTAATAAAATTAAACATAAAACTTTTAAAATTTATATTTATCGATGTAAATGAATCGAATTGTTTATTTATTTTTATTTTTTGTGCTTATTAGTTCTATGTGTAACTTTTAGGTGATAGATAATATTTATTTGTAATTTTATCCATGTAGGTTGGAAATTTTTATATTTAGAAAAATGATTATTTTAATTTTAAATAAATTTTTATTTGATATTAGTTTTTCTAATATAATATATAAATATCATATTACAATATAAAATAATAATTATTTTCGTTATTTAATATTAATACGTAAAAAGGTTGTAATTCAATTGAGAAATTAATAGGTAATCTTGAGTTAAAATAACGAGTGATTTCTAAAAAGTTATATAGACTAAATAGTTTATGTGTTTAATATATTTTTAATAAAAAAATTGTAAACGCAATCAATTAATAGAAAAACTACAACATAAAAATTTTAATATTTAAAAAGGAATGAAAAAAAATAAAATGTTATGTTGCAATGAAAAATCCAACGATAAGATGTTCCATTAAAAATTCTAAAGGATATTTCATTTGCATAGCTTTCATTTGAAAATATCATTGGCTATTCCAACATAGATCAAATTATATTATAATGGAATTTTAATGGATTTAATGATTCGAGTTACCATTATTTATTTTTTGTGTGAATTTTTTTTTTTGGGAACATATCAATGAAAGTTGCATTGGAAAGCTAATTGCAGTGATAGATACAGACAATTTCATATTGGGGGCACTATTTAGTTAATAAAAAATATATACCATCAAAATAACATAATATCATTACAATATTTAAATTTTACTATTCAAAATTTGTCATCTTTCTCATCTGTAATACATGTTTACAAATCTTTACAGTTACAATAAGTTAAAAGTATTCAAAAAGAATATAATTTTTCTCAACTAAAAGTAAGCAAATCATTGAAAAAAATATATCTTTTAAAATCCGATGAACAAAAAATTTATGTTGTAGTATAGATGACTCGACAATTTTGTTGATGAATTTATAAATTATGACTAATTGATTATAATATTAATGAGAAAATTGTAATTGTATATAATATAATAATAAGATATATAAATAGATTATATATTAACACATATGACCAAAATAATATATTCTTTAAAAATCTTATGAACAAAAAATCTATGTGGTAGTATAGTTGACTCGACAATATTGTTAATTAATTTATAAATTATGAATAATTGATTATAATATTAAAGAGAAAACTGTAATTGTATATAATATAATATTAAGATATACAAATAATTGATATATTAACACATATGACCGAAAAAGTTCTATACATAATATTATGAATTTTTAAGCAAATACAAAATTTAAAAACACATGAAAGAACAATATAAAATAAAAAAGAAAATATTAAATCTGACAAATGATAATAAAAATTACTAAGTTGTAATACATACTAATAAATATTAAAAAATAATAAATAAATATGTTATAATTAATAAAAGTAAACATAAACCTTTTAAAACTTATATTTATCAATGTAAACGAGCAAGGTTGTTAAATGCTTGTTAATTTTTGTACTTATTAATTCTATATGTAACTTTTAGGTGATATACAATAGTTATTTTTACCTTTATCCATGTAGGCTAGGAAAAAAAAATACTTGATTATTCTAATTTTAAATTACTATTTATTTGCTATTAGCTTTATATATATATATATATATATATATCATATTAAATATATAAATAATAATTATTTTAATTATTTAACATTTAATATGTAATAAATGTAACTCAATTGGGAATTTATTAGGTAATCTTGAGATAAAATAATGAGTTGCTTTAAAAAAATTATATGGATTAAAAAGTTCATGTGTTTAATGTATGTTATTAGAAAAATTGTAAACGCAGTTACTCAATAACTACTACTTAAAATATAATGTTTAAGAAGGAATACAAAGAACGATTACATTATGAGCTCATTTGTCTACGTTTTATTTCATTTTTGCAACGATATTTTTAATAAATTAATTAATTTATTTTACTAAACTTAATTGAGAAAAAACATTCGCCACCACGTGCATCGCACGTGCACTTTACTAGTAAATATTAAAGTACAAATATTAGTTAAAAACAAATTAAATCTTGAGCTTCATGTATTTTGTATAACAGTTGTTCTTTTTTGCAATTATTGATTCGTTTAAAAAATATTGCATAGACTAATTTTTGTAAATTGTTGTCCAAAATAATAATAATAATAATAATAATAACAATATTATGATAAATATAAAAAACCAGCCATGAGAGAAATTAACTAACCAGAATTTTCATCAATTAAAACCTGCGCCTCTCTTCTTCCATCATGAAAACTAAAATGTTGAGCTCCCCAATCAGCCTCATAGTTTTCATCAAAATGTGGACTTTTGCTTAATACATTTTTATTGTCACCAGCAACACACGAAATTAATATGACACACAAACAAAGATAGAGAGGAGCCATCATCATAGACATGAAACTAAAATGAAACAATTGATTTAGTTTATATTATAAATAGTGGATGAGCAAATTATCAGAACATAGTGTAATTAATATTGATAAAAACTGTGATCTGATTCACTGTATATGTATATATGTGAGCAAGATTGATGGATTGTGCGGGTCAAATATTATGCCAAATTAATAGTATCCTATTGTAAATTAGGACTAAGATTGATTGATATACATTTGCTGATGCTTTATGGATTGTGTGGGTCAAATATTTGGTTTTGAGAAAATATGACAAGGAACCAACTTATTGTTTTGTTAATATATATCAAAATTCCATATAATTACTAACCAAATTATAGATCTGACATATCAATTAGCATATTAGTGTTTTGAATACATAAGTGATGAAGATTTTTAATATTTTCATACATATGGTATATTATGAAATAATGGCAGAACCTAGTTAAAAATTAGAGTAATGTCATAAAGCTCACTTGGGTTACAACTAAAGTGTAAATGCATTATTTTTTAGTTTCTTGATAACGCATTTACATTTGGGCTGTAACTCAAGTTATCATAAAAGTTGGCCAAATAACATTACTCTGAAAATTAATAACGGATTACATTAGTGGATTTGACCAGCTAATTCTTGTAGGTAGTTATTTTTTTAATAAAGTGAACAACTAGAAAATTAAAGAATATTTTTGTTCGTTATATTTATTGATGGATACATTTATATGATGAATTTATATGAACAATTAAATATCTAATGATTAATTAAAATACTATGTTTTGAGACGATAATCTGTAAATGTACTAGCCTTAATTTATAAAAAATAAAATAATAATCAATTATTAATATTTTCATAAATTAAGTTATATATAATCAGTGCTAAATGTATCTAATAATAANACCAAATGAAGCTAATTCAAAATTATCCTGAAAAAACAAAAGATGATATAACTAGTAAAATTTCTAATTATGGTTAAATCCTACTTGTAACTCAAATCCCAATTACCACACAACCATTATACTATTGTAACTAGTACAGAGCCCGTGCGATGCACGGGGTGCACAATTTTAAGGCTATTTATCCAAGCTTATAATTATATACATGAATAAAGAAAAATGTACGGAATATATATAGTACGTGACCCGTGCGAAGCACGAGATATATTTATTTAGAGAATATTATATTATAAGATGCAATATTCAATAAAAGTTTATAATACGCAAGAAAATTGTACAATGTTCAATAAAAGTTTTATAATATTCAAGTGGAGTTTTAAAGTCTCTTGTACATTAAGACTACTGACAAAATAATATTTTAATCAATGAATTTCCTTTTCTTGTAGCCAAATTGTGAATGTGATTTGAGGAGTACAACAAATCGATATATAGCTGACTTGCTTTTTTCATTGTAGTTTTTTTTCTTTTTTTTTTTATAATGAATTTAAAGATATTCTAAAATATAGCAAAAATTAATTTTTTTATTACAATTAGGAATTTTACTAAATATAAACTCTCAATCTATGGTGTTAATCAACGTTTAAGTCTAAAAAATTAGGAATTTTTACCTCTTTTAATTAACGTTTAAGTCTAAAAAACAATAGAGTTATTATAACTTTTTTTTTCTACATCTTTTAAAACATTAAATATGAGCATGTTAGGGCTAACTTGTAAAATAATTAATATATTATTTCACTAAAATATTTATACTAATAAAAATTTAATTTTAGCATATAAATATATCTCTTGATATAACAGAAAGTAACAGTTTTACCTATTGTTGTTCACCATATAATATTTAATTATTATTTTATTATATAATAAAAAAAAATATTGTTAAATAGTGTAGTAGAATTGTTATAAAATTATATGATTTTTTTTTACAATATGGATTTAATTTTTTATGATTTGATAATATAAACAAATCTATACTTAACTTTGACAAATAAATACTTTAGTAAGTATTTAATTGTATATACTAAATAGGAATATATTTGGTATAATCAATTACCAAATATAATCAAATAAGTCAAAGTGTACATTTTTATTTGGTATTTGATTTTTTTATTATTAAAATCTTTTTATTATACTTACCTTTTTAAAATAAAACAAATAAATAAATCAATTAAATAAATAAAATATTATAATACCAAAATAGTAATGACATTTAATGCTGTTGACTTTTCTGGATAGTAAATGTAGTAAATAGAATCTTCTTTTATATAAGTATAGATTGTATAATACGGAAATAGTAATGCAATATATATTGTTGACTTTTCTTTATACTAAATCTGGTAAATGGTATACCTTTTAATATAAGTATAGACTTATGTATATTGTTTTTTAATTGTTTTGTATATAATTAAAAGTTTGGCCTAACAATGCCAACGAAGCCAGGTCGGAAGTTATGACTCATAAAGCCTTTTTATCAGCTTATTATTAATGGATTTTTATGCCTTTCCCTTTACAGCCGAGAAACGCATTATTCCCTCTTCATTTTCTTCTCGTTTCATCTGAATGAAAAAATCCCAATCTCAATCTCTCAGTCCACATGGCTACGACCGACTTCAATGACTGGGAGCTCCTCCACTCCACCTCCGACTCCGACTCCGCCCCCGGCGAGCCTTTTAGCGAGATTGACGCCGGAGGATTGATTCAGCTCGATTATTTCTCCCTAGATGCTCGGAATCTTGTCGGGGAGGACATGGGTGATGCTAAATCCGCTGCTGGGTCCGATAACCCCAGTTGGATCGATCCCGGGCCGGAGGAGAACCCGAACATGTACCTCCACAAGGATTCCGGCGAGTTTTGGTCAGATTCCGGCAGCGACAGGTCCGATGATCGGGCATTTGTCCAAAAGGAGGCGATAAAGGAAATGGGTTTTTCTCAGGATGAGAAGAAGGGTGTTAGAGTTGGAGGGATTGGGGAAATATTCGAGGGAGATGGAGAAAGAGCGGAGGATTTGGGGAAAGTTTGTTTGGAGTCGAGTGGGGTCGAAATTAGCTCCCTGGAACACGGAGCCGTTGCAGATGAGGTGGATTCGCACATCGAGCTGGAGGTTTCTGGCGAAGAAAACAGTAGCATGAGGAAAGTTGAGAGTGGGGATGAGGTTATGGAGGATGACAAGAGCAAGAAAAATGGCGAGCTCAAGAAGAGGATCATTGTGTGGTGGAAGATGCCGGTAGAGTTCCTTAAGTATTGTTTGTTTCGGATGAGCCCTGTGTGGGCCGTATCTGCTGCTGCTGTTGCTGTGATGGGCTTTGCGATTTTGGGTCGGCGGCTGTACAAGATGAAGAAGAGGACCAAGGGACTGGAGATCAAGGTTACAGTTGATGATAAGGTTAGAGATTTCTCATCGATTTTGTTTTACCTGTGTGTCTGCAAAATTGGAGCTGAAATTTTGCATATATGGTGATAGTGTGAGATTGAGAATATGCACTTTTTATTGTGATTATGAACTAGTGTTTGGTTGTGCTGTCTATCATGTAGGAAACTGTATGATTGAGTTCTAACTTCTAAAGATCATCTTTTAAGTATGGACATTAGGATCCTTCTTCGTCAATCTTATTTTGTTCATACTAATATGGTTAATTTATGTCCATTTTGAATATGTGACCTATTCTGTTCAAAGTAAATGAATGATCCAAGAGACTCAATATCGTCCTGAGAACTCAGAACTTTTGTTTCTTGTATGAGAAAAAGGGTTATTTTATGGGGGATCACTTAGGAACTCAAAATGCTGTTTGATCGTTGAGTAATTTCATATTAGCTAGTTACCGGAAATTGTACATCCTTTGCAATTGTTTGATGTCTTGTGGCGGTTGCAGTCTCAATTTAAACATCAACGTTGCGAAAAGGACATGAAGGCACTTTTGCTCCACCTGTTTAGCTTCTGTTTGAAAAGCATAGGCTCTTGTGATCATTCTCACACCTATGGACATGATCCATTATCTATTGCTTGTTGTGTTGATCATTCCTCACCACAGATTGAGGCTATTTATTGCATAAAAAATGGTAGTTGCTGTATTGATGATTCAACTATACGTTTTGTTTGGGATGTATTCGCGTTGGCATTTATGAGTGGGGCATATATGTTTGAATATAGTGAGTTCTCAAAGACGATATTAATTTATTGTCTGGAAGAAATTAATCCTCACATGACTTGTAAGCCAATGCATTGGTGACTCTCTTTGTGGTTTTCTTCATTGCTCAATTTTTGTTTTGCAGAAGGTATCACAAGTTATGAGCAGTGCTGCCCGTTTGAACGAAGCTTTCTCGATTGTGAAAAGGGTCCCAGTGATTCGGCCCTCACTGCCTGCTGTTGGCTCGACTAACACCTGGCCTGTAATGAGTCTTAGATAAGTCGGGCAAACATGTTTGCGCGTAAGACAGTATACACGGTGTCGAATTTGAGCAAATGCATAGGCTCGAGTATTACTGTATATTCCATGTGTGTGTGTATGTTCAATTTCACCTCTCAGAACTGGGAATTGTTCGTCACGGTGGTATGTAGTATGTAGTATGTACCGAGAACTCCATATGTTGCTTTCAGTCCATTTATACTTGTCTTGTAATACCTCCTTAGCCCCCTTCTTAGCAGGTGTGATTTGGTTTTGGTTGGGTTGAATGTATAGAATATGGGATCTAAGAATGTAACAATTGAATATTTTTGTATTTTGTATTGTCCTTTATAATCATATTCCACCTCAATTGGCCAAAGCCACTTGAAATGCTAGCCTCTACAGACATACCATGCTTACGCCATCGAGCCACACAGAGGCAAAACGGGCTGTTCTCTAACCGCTCGACCACACATCCAATTGGAACATTGTGATTTCGATTATGAAAAATAGATGTAATCTGACATGCTAGCAAAACTATTTGGATGCAAATTGAACTTTCAACATGTATACAATAAGATTGTAGGACAAGTTACTATAAGACAAACAAAACACCTAAAGTGTGATGTTTTTACAATTGTAGTTCATACATGGACAAGAGTACACCATATCTAACCTCCACTAATAGGAGGTATGATTGCCAACTCGTCTTGATCCTTAACAACAGCAGACTCGGAGGTGTATTCCTCGTTTAGAGCAAGTACCATACAGTTACGTATCTCGTCAAGGCCTGGAAATTGGGCAATGAGCTTATTCAAGCAATCTTGAGCAGTGGTACCAGGTGAAACTTCCAGGGAAGTATTTGCCATTCCAGTTAGGTCTCTTGCTCGGGCAAAGAATAAAACCTTTATCTTGATAGATGGCATAAGATCCTTTTCTTTATCTTCAGTTCCCATCTTTCTGGATATACTCGTATCGTTTTAAGGCAGCTCTAAAAACGACACCTGAATGTCACAAGGATTAACAATATTATAGCTCATATATATACAGTGGTCAACAAATATGGAAAGTTTATATTTTGAAGCTTTGCTATCACTGTGTTTCCAGACAAGTCATATTACCTAAAGCAAACTTTATAAAGATACAAAAATGTCGAGCAGTTTTGGAAATTTGGCAGCAAGATTTTAATCTCTTTACATTACAGACTAATATTCAATGGGATTTTCAAAGGAACCTACAAAAGGATGAGTACACCATAAAACTCTCTCACAACACTCCATCTGAACACACATCCAGTGATATCGAAACAAACGTGAATTAGACAAATCAAGACCTCTGGTAGTATGTTTGTAGAGAAAAAACTGTAGTTAACATCAAGTGCTAATAAGTCTTCTCAAGAAAAAACAATTCCAAATGCTAACCAAGCACAAAATGTACTGAAATAACTTTCACCAACTGCACTACTTGATGTATATGAATTAGGCTTTTGAGATTTGAGTTCCCAGCAAGTTTGTAATGCTCTAGGAAATTTCTGTATGATAATCTTTTGATTATTCCTTTTTCAACACAAACCCTTAAACCCAGATGCAAAAATCAGGAACCAATGATGAAGAATTAGAACTTAGTAGGCTGAGTTGAGTTTGAACTAACAAATTTGAAAAAAGAAGCGTGAATTAAGGAAAAAAGAAAAGTAGAGAAAAGGGAGCAATGTTGAATCCTTTCATTATCTTTTCGAAGGAATTAAACTAACTCGCAAGATTGCACTTTTTCTATATACTTTTAACTTTACTCATGAACTCACACAGCAATAGACAATCAGCAACTACAATTATCTCACTCAAAATAAACAAACCTATCAATAAATAGTATTCACCTTTTCACAAAGTTGATGATTTCAATTATCTCACCAGATGGTAATTACAAGAATTTCANTGATGAAAAAAATTATTTTCCCGGCATTTTCCGACGTGGCTTTGATTATTCAAATTTTAAATTTATGGCAAATAAAAAAGACTTAATTGCCTACAAAACCCCAACCTTTTATACAATTGCAAATAAAACTCAACTTTTTTATCTTTACAATCAAATACCAAACTTTTATTATGTGTTGCAAATTTATCTCCGAATCATTTTCCGGCCAAGACGAACTGACGTGTCCGATTAAAAATCTTACATGGCACGGAGGAGTCTTGCGTGGCAGCCTAATTTTTCCACATCATATGCCAAAGATTTTATATTCATGCCACATCATATGCTAAGAAATGAACTAAAAATGAGTTCACCCCCAATTATGCAAAAAAAAAAATAAAATAAAATAATTTCACATTCTGAAAAAACTGCAGCGATTTTTCCATGGATGTTTCATCTTCCGAATAAATTTGCAACACTTTGATAGTCTTCCAAATCCTGCTTAAGTGATTTGAACTCGTGTGAGAAGAATCTTCGTGCCTAAAAATGTGATTCAATTTTTGCCCAATTTTTTCAGAAATTTGAAATTAGGGTTTTCGTCGAAGCTGCAAATCAAGAAATGAGGCGTTTTTGTTACAATTAATCACATTTGAATCCTTACAAATCTAATAAACTCCCTACAAATTAATGTAGCTCTACACCAAACAATAAATCTGAAGTTTGCGAAAATGGAAAAAATAGATCCCGAATAAAAAAAATCTGAAATTATACATGTACCCAAATGAACAATTGAACCTTCAAATCACTACAGCTCTAGTTTCTTCAGTCCTAGTTTCTCACTTTCAGTAACCAACTGCCCGATTAATTTTTTTTTTAAAAGTGAAAGAAAAGTGAGTTTGAATGAATTTGAAGGAAAAAAATAAGTGAAAATCGCTGCACCTCTAATTTGTGCTGCTACTCTCTTAATTTGACAAGAAATTTGAGTTCTTACCTCAATTAGTTTGGCAATTAGCTGGCCCTTTTTCTTGTTCTTCAATCCTCTGCTGCAACTTTTGAAGGAATCGCTCGAGGAGTTTGAATGACCTCAAACCCCTGCTGCAATTTTATTTTATTTTAATTTTTCCTTCTTCTGAATTTGGCAAAATTGGGGGTGAGAGTCAAACCATATGATGTGGCATGAATAATAAAATCCTTGGCATATGATATGGAAAAAATAGGCTGCCAAGAATCCTCCGTGCCACGTAGATTTTTAATCGGACACGTCAGTTCGACTTCACCGAAAAATAATTCGGAGACAAATTTGCAGGGTGATTTATTTATTACAAAACAAAAAAAAATATGTGGACAAAAACAAAAAAAAAAAAAAGAAGTGGAAAAAAATCAAAAGCACGTATTCTTAGAATACGTTTTTCTAATAAAAATTTATTAGAAAAACGTATTCTCGTAATACGTTTTACTAATATTTTTTAAAAATAAAAAAAAAAATATATTTCCGTTTAATAGTGGAAAAGAATTAAAAATAGTAACTATAAAACGTATTTTCGAAATACGTTTATAAATTTGAATTTACCAATAAAAAAATTAAAAACTAAAAACGTATTACACGAATACGTTTTACAAATAATTCATAGTAAAACGTATTCTGAAAATACGTTTTAATATAAAATATAAAAAAAAAATCTCTCTTCTCCCTCATTTGCGCATCTCGTTTCTGGTTCTGGGCGAACTTCTGCGAGCGACTTTCATTTCCGGTGGAAAAAAGAAAACACGATCCAATCCTACCCGAACCGAACCAAATCGACAACAACGACACGAGTCTCAATTCCGGTTAATTCACTCGCACAAGGTATATTGATTTATCTTAACTTTTTACATTGTTTGGAGTTGTTTGGAAAATTGGAATTGTTATAATATGTTTGAATGTGGTGTTGTTTTGGACATTAAGAATTGTTAATTGTTTATCGAATATGTGTATATGTTGAATTGGAGATTGGAATTTTGTTATAAATTGTTAATTGTGTATTTGTTGGTTGTTGTTGGGCTTAGGGTTTTCGAAATTAGGGTTAGAATTGGGGCTTTCAAATTTATCCGAAATAATTGAATTTTTTTGGTGTTGGATTAGATATTAGACACCATGTGTTGTTGTAATTGTGAAGAATTGAAAGTGTCTTTTTGCAACAGGTATTAATGGCATTTTCCGGTCCATATTTTGTTAATTTGTACTGGCATTTTGCGACAGAAAGGTTAAGTGAATTTGTTTTATTTAAAGATCGTCCGGATGGGTCATTGTTTATTCCGGAGAGGATATCATATCAACAATTGGTAGAAATGATTAAACAAAATTGTTGGTTCGGAGAAGGTTGGACAATGAAGGACATTACTTTAATAGTTGAGCAACGCGATGGTTCGTTGAATTTCTTAAGACTCAATAACGAAAGTGTTCTTCAGTATATTTATTACCTTACTCCTATGTCCACGGTGTATTTGCATTTATCGTTGGAGGCAATTACACCGGTTACACAGGTTGAGGATGTGTGGGGGTGTTACGGGGGAGAGGTGGATGTTGATGGTACGTCGACTTCCCATCTACGTAATTTTGGAGAAGGGACAAGCTCAACAATGCAATGGGAAAATGAGAACTGGGAAGAAGAAGAAGGCGATGAAGATTTCGTTCCTGGTGAAGATGATTTCACAGATGAGACCTCCGAAAGCGAATCAGACAGATCGATAAATGAGGAGAGTGAACCCGAATTGATTGAAGAGGAAGACCCTCTTCCTAGTGGTGGTCGCCACATTTATCGCGAGATGGGTGAATGGGAGCCATCGAAGATAGATGAGAACGAGTATGCTCTTCCACGTTGGAATGACGACATTGAGACCATACGTTTGGGTACAGTTTTTAAAAGCAAGGAAGAAGCACAATCGGGTCTGTTGGCTTGGAACGTTGATAGGCTGAGGGCGGTTCGGACAATAGATTCTAATCAGAAGTCATTCAAAGTGGTGTGCAGATCTAATGACGATGAACCTTGTGTGTGGAAAGCTCGGGTGACTAAGAAACGGGTTCATGAAATGTGGGAAATAACTGAATGGACTGACAGACACACTTGTATGCAACGGGTCGAGAGAAATGACCACAGAAATGTAACCGCTCATATGATTTCAAATCTTGTAATTAACAAGATTGAAAAGAAACTTGACTACAACGTTAGACTTATCCAGGCCGATGTGAAACAGTGCTGGAAAGTCGATGTCAGCTACAAGAAGGCGTGGCACGGAAGGAGAAAAGCCATCGAGCGTGTGTATGGCTGTTGGGAATCGAACTTCGCAGAACTCCCTCGGTAAGCAAAACTTAATTGCAAATACATATGTCGTTTGTCGGTCACTATGTTTATCTACTTACAAAATTGTATTGTAATTTGCAGGTTTTTCGCCGCGCTTCAAAGAGCGAATCCCACCACAGTTGTACAGTGGGAATGGCAGGGTGGGGAAATGGCGCATCAGTATGAAGACAGAGAATTCAAATTTGTTTTCTGGGCGTTTGGTCCCGCCATTCAGACCTTCCAACGATGCCCGCCGGTCATTAGCATCGATGGCACACACTTGCGCGGATCGTACAAGGGGAAACTGCTTGTGGCTATAGCACAGACAGCGAATAAGCGGCTATTGCCAATCGCCTATGCGATTGTTGATGAAGAAAGCAAGGATAGCTGGTCATTTTTCCTTACAAATGTGCGGCAATATGTTGTGTTCGACCGACAGATCTGTGTTCTCTCCGACAGGGATAACGGCATACTTAGTGCCATTGACTCGTTGGTTGGTTGGCAAGAACCCGCTGCATATCATCGGATTTGCCTTCGACACCTTCGAAGCAACGTGGTCACTAACTTTAGGAATAGGAAAGTGCGTGATTGGTGTTGGGATTTGGGTTCGCAATTGTCGGAGCGAAAGTTTCGAGCGACAGAACAACGACTGTTGGAATTTAATCCCCAGGCACACAAGTACCTTTTCGACATTCCTTTGGACAAGTGGACCCTGTATGGAGATGAAGGAAGACATAGATGGGGCACATTGACGACCAATATGTCGGAGAGCTACAACAACGTCTTGAAAGGCGTTAGGTTCCTGCCGTGCAGAGCTTTGGTACAGGCCACATTGGAAAAAACTCTTGATTTGTTCGAACAGGAACAAAGGAAGGCCACGAGATGCATGAGTCCCGTTGCTACTGAGCACTATAAAGCCTATTTGGAATTGGAGCGTATAGCCGCAACCCATGAGGTGAAATGTGTGAACGCCGAAATGTCCAGGTACAGGGTGAAAACCGGTCTTCGGGCTAGTGGGAGAGGGAAAAACAGGTATATGTTTTTTCTTTTCTTTTTTTTTTTTTTTTTTTTCCCATTCAAATATTTGGATGTTTATATATATAAATCATTGTTTGTGTTAACAGCTATAAGGTTAATTACCCCCGGAAACGTTGTAGTTGTCTGAAGTGGCAGACACACAGGAAACCGTGCACTCATGCAATAGCTGTAGCTCGTCAAATCAGGACTGATCCAAAGTTGTTGTACGATAATGCATTTTGGACGGAGACTTGGGTAGCTCAATTTACTAATTGGGGTTTCGCTCCAGTTGGTACTGCAGATACATGGGCGCCGGTGGGATGGAATTTGATACCACATTGGGAGAGGATAATCTTGAAGCCTGGACCCGGTCGCAAGCAAACGAGACGCTATCGCATGCAAATGGATCGTCGGGCGCGCCGTAGGAATGATAGGGGACAGTGTTCCAGATGTGGTAATCCCGATCATGTTGTCGATGAATGTCCGTCCTCACATCCTCACACCGATAGGTCTAGACTTCGTGATGACTGGGGAAACTAAATTTGTTAGGGTTTATTCGGATTTGTTTGGAGGGTTCATTTGGATTTGGTTGGATTGTTAATTTATTTTGTTTGGATGGTTTATTTTATTTGAATTTGTTTGGATGATTTATTTTGAATATTTAGTTGGTTGTTTTGAATATTTAAAACAGGTATTTCTGTTTAGTTGGTTGTTTTGAATTTTTAAAACAGGTATTTCTGTTTAGTTGGGTGATTTGAATTTTTAAAACAGGTATTTCTGTTTAGTTGTTTGTCAACTGAACGCATCCTGCACAAGTCTGACGTCACCATGACGGGCATGCCTTGGGAAAAGCTCCAAATGGTCATTAGCACCTTCAACAGCGGCAAACTTCCCACCTGTCCAGAACATCGGGGGCTCCAAGGTGACCTTCCCGAATCTGAGGGACCCACGCCTCCAATCACTGTCCTCCCCCTTTTTCGACACATCTTATCCAGGGTCGATGTTAATCTCCCTAATGGAATCAAATAGCTGCTGAATCCCATGATTAACAAAGTCATGGTACGAATTGATCTTGTGGGAGATTAAACCATACTGGTCAAAAAATGAAGTGGCGGCTTTCCTACAGAACATTTTCAGGAAACTTTCGTCAAGCCCCTCCATTGGTTGTTTTGAATATTTAAAACAGGTATTTCTGTTTAGTTGGTTGCGGTGAATATTTAAAACAGGTATTTCTGTTTAGTTGGTTGTGAATATTTAAAACAGCTATTTCTGTTTAGTTGGTTGCGGTGAATATTTAAAACAGATATTTCGGTTTAGTTGGGTGATTTGTTTTGTTAAAACAGGTATTTTTTGGTTAAGAAATATACAAGGGGTGTTTTTTTTCAAAAAAATAACAGTTAAAAACGTATTGTGGTAATACGTTGTTAAAAAAAATAACAGTAAAACGTATTACGAGAATACGTTTAGTGTTAATTAATTGTAAAACGTATTTTAGGAATACGTTTTACCTTTATTTAATTGTAAAACGTATTCTGGGAATACGTTTTACAATTAATTAACTGTAAAACGTATTCTCAGAATACGTTCTTTAATTACAAAAAAAGTGTAACAAGGTTCCCAGATTCGGGACTCGAACCCGGGATCGGGTGAGTCCGTTATCTCTGGGGGCTCCTCGTTACCATTAGGCCGCACTAGGCTATCGCTGCTATTTCTACACAACTTTTGTTCTTATCATTCAACATCTATATTTTGTATATTATATAGTATTTATAATATATACTACAACATATTATTATAACATATTACTATATACAATATTACTATAACATATTATTATAACGAATTCGAGTTCGATTTCACTATAATTGACGTAAATTGTACTAAGTTAACTTAAATTGTACTAAGTTAACTTCAATTGTACTAATTTGACTTCAATTGTACTAATTCGACTTCGATTTCACTATAATTGAAGTCAAATTAGTACAATTGAAGTCAACTTAGTACAATTGAACTCGAATTAGTACAATTGAACTCGAATTAGTACAATTCAAGTCAACTTAGTACAATTGAAGTCAATTATAGTGAAATCGAACTCGAATTAGTACAATTGAACTCGAATTAGTACAATTCAAGTCAACTTAGTATAATTGAACTCGAAATAGTATAATTGAACTCGAATTAGTACAATTGAACTCGAATAAGTACAATTCAAGTCAACTTAGTACAATTCAAGTCAACTTAGTACAATTCAAGTCAACTTAGTACAATTCAAGTCAACTTAGTACAATTGAACTCGAATAAGTACAATTCAAGTCAACTTAGTACAATTGAACTCGAATAAGTACAATTCAAGTCAACTTAGTACAATTGAACTCGAATTAGTATAATTGAACTCGAATTAGTACAATTGAACTCGAATAAGTACAATTCAAGTCAACTTAGTACAATTCAAGTCAACTTAGTACAATTGAACTCGAATAAGTACAATTCAAGTCAACTTAGTACAATTCAAGTCAACTTAGTACAATTCAATATGCCAAGAGCCTTCTCTACACATCTCTGACTGTCGGAGGCGGAGAGATCGGTCAGGGGACGTCGTCAAGCCAAGTTTTATCACAAGAGAGCTACGTCCAACCCCAGAGGACGCAGTCACACCGAGCCAGGCATCAACCTCCTCCCCATATTCGTGGAGGTAGAAGACGACGTCACCGCGAACCAGTTGCCGACGCCAGGCCTGAGGAACAACAAGAAGAAGGTAAACATCTTTTAGTTAACAAAAATATAATTTTATTTATGTTTTGTGATTTCTAATTTCTTAAAAAACTTAATTACTCAGCTCAAGAAGAAGAACAAGAACCTACCACACCCACAGCATCGTCTTCTGCACAACCACCACAGCGTCGGATTAGCAACCGACCGCGCAACCCTACCAATCGATACACTCCTAGTTAGTTGTGTTGTATTCGGAGACAATTTGTAGACATATATATTTATTTTTTTCTTTCGTGGATTTATGTGTAATGATATTTGAACTTGTTTGGAATTTTATATTTGGAAAGTGAATTATTGTGCTTCATTATTGTTTCTTTGACATGGTTGATATGGGTTTTGTGAATTTATATTTGGTTGTGGAATCGATCTCGATTAACAGGTGTGTTTTTGTAATTTTGTTTCTGTGAATTGCTGTTTTTGCACAGTAAAACGTATTTTCAAAATACGTTTTTGTACTGTGTAAAATTAGGTCAAAATCGATTTGGGGATAAAATTAGGGCGCAATCAATTTGGGGCAAAATTAGGTTCAAAAACGTATTTTCAAAATACGTTTTTTTACTGTGTAAAATTAGGTCAAAATCGATTTGGGGATAAAATTAGGGCGCAATCAATTTGGGGCAAAATTAGGTTCAAAAACGTATTTTCAAAATACGTTTTTTTACTGTGTAAAATTAGGTCAAAATCGATTTGGGGATAAAATTAGGGCGCAATCAATTTGGGGCAAAATTAGGTTCAAAAACGTATTTTCAAAATACGTTTTTCTACTGTGTAAAATTAGGTCAAAATCGATTTGGGGATAAAATTAGGGCGCAATCAATTTGGGGCAAAATTAGGTTCAAAAACGTATTTTCAAAATACGTTTTTCTACTGTGTCAAATTAGGTCAAAATCGATTTGGGGATAAAATTAGGGCGCAATCAATTTGGGGCAAAATTAGGTTGAAAAACGTATTTTCAAAATACGTTTTGTGTTTGTGTAAAATTAGGTCAAAATCGATTTGGGGATAAAATTAGGGCGCAATCAATTTGGGGCAAAATTATGTTCAAAAACGTATTTTCAAAATACGTTTTGATTTTGCAAATATTATTTTCCAAAAAAATAAGTTTTTTTAAAATCAAAAATATTAATTTTAAATATTTTAACGAAAAACGTATTCCCAGAATACGTTTTTAAGCTATTTTAATTAATTTAATTACGTTAATCACCTTAATTAATTGTTTCTAATGAACACGTATTATTAGAATACGTTTTTTTATAAAAACGTATTTTAGGAATACGTTCTTGTTTAAAAAACGTATTCTAAGAATACGTGCTTTTGATATTTTTCCACTTGTTTTATTTTTTTTTTATTTATGTCCACTTAATTTTTTTATTTTTATATAAATAATTAAATCCAAATTTGCAACATGCCAAAAATAAAAATAAAAATACCCACTCGTCTTTTTCTTCAACAGCCAGAGAGAATCTGCGGCTGAGATCTGGCCTCCGATCATCTCTAGCCTCTCCAATCTCTCCCTCCGCCGCCGCCAACCACCCACTTCCGCCAATGGCACCTCCAGCAGCAACCGCCTGGAACACCGTTTGAATAGACTGCCCGAACCATGTCCCTCAACATGAAGACCCTGACCCAGGCCTTGGCCAAGGCATCGGCCGTCATCGAGAAGACCGTGCAGAACACGGTGCAAGAAGTGACCGGTCTACCTAAGCCGATGCAGGACTACGACCTCATCGATCAGATTGGCACCGCCGGCCCGGGCCTGGCCTGGAAATTGTACTCAGCCAAGTCGCGCGACGGCCACCTGCCGGCCGCTTATCCTACGGTTTGTGTTTGGGTATTGGATAGGAAAGCTCTGTCAGAGGCTCGGCAGCGAGCAGGGCCGTCGAAAGCCGCTGAGGATGCGTTTCTGGATGTGATTCGAGCTGATGCGGCCCGGCTAGTGAGGCTGAGGCACCCCGGCGTGGTCCACGTGGTACAGGCGCTCGATGAAAGCAAGAATGCCATGGCTCTGGTCACGGAGCCGCTCTTTGCATCAGCGGCGAATGCGCTGGGGAATGTGGAAAACATTCCGAAGGTGCCTAAGGAGCTTAAGGGGATGGTATGTACTTTCTTTTCAATTAGTCAAGGGATGGTGGTTCGATATGTTTATTTTCAATTTGAACTGTAGCGCTGAAACTTTCTGGAGCTAGCATCTGATGTTACCTAATGCATTTCTGACTTTTGTGAGTTTAACTTGATTTAACGATGCCAGTACCGACTGAGACACGGAGGAGCGGAAAAAAGTTGAGTTTTTTCTATGTTCCATCGGGAATGGAGCTTAGTAGTTAGGATTCTTGATGTTCCAAGGACTCTGGAGGCTGAAGCAAATTTTACAACCTTCTACCAACATAGCTTGTTAAACTAGAAATATATTGCTTCTATAGCATCCCATCTTGAGTTCACAAGCTGAATTCCTCAGTATGAGTCATGGATTATCTTTCAGTAATTCTGAATTATGTGTGTATATACTACAGTGTGTCTGCTAAAATAGCTATCACTATAAGTTGTTTCTCCTGTCGACAAATTTAAGCAGCGTAACATGAAGTTTGAACCTTTTCCCAGTTGTGATTTTGCTTATCCTGATTTGGGGGTTAAAATTTTATTTTTCCAAGATGCTTGATATCACAAATTTCCATTCTATATGAGTTGTGGAACTATGTCTTTCTACTATTTTCACAAGTTTGTGAAGTGTGAATGAATACTCTGCTGCAGGAAATGGGATTGTTGGAGGTGAAGCATGGCCTGCTCCAGATTGCAGAGACATTGGACTTCCTTCATAATAATGCCCGGCTCATCCATAGAGCTTTATCGCCTGAGGTAATGATACTCCTTGATCTCTTTAAGGGTTTTGAGTTGAATAATCTTGATACAGTTTTATCATCTTTCATTCTCTTACTTTTTGCCATAGATCCTGGCTTTTCAGTTATCTTTGGGTAAGTTTGGGCAAAAAAAGGTGAAATGTGATGCTTTGTCTAGAGACACATATTATGATTCAAAACCTTTTGTTTTGTTTGGTTTGGTTTTTGGAAAAGCATTTGTTGTGTGAATCCTCCCGTTCTTGTTGTTTTGATAAATTTCTTGGGAGGGGTCATTATGTTGTTTGGCTGATTAATTTAACACTTATGTTGTGGTAGACTGTGCTCGTTACTGCCAACGGAGCTTGGAAGCTTGGTGGTTTCGGTCTTGCAATTTCAACAGATCGGGCCAATGATTCTGCTAGCATGCAGGCATTCCATTATGCTGTGAGTAATATATTTACTGTGGTTGGAAAATAGACATGTATTCTTCTCATCTCTTCTTGAATCTTCTTTTATATATGTTAAAAATTTTCAATCTGAATGCATTTCACATTTGCTGCTTTTGGTTAGTAGTGTTCACCGTTCACATGTTTCATAATACCACATGGTGCTTCATATGAGTGATAAATCTAATTGAGGAAATGCAAGTGGTTATCAACGTTGTTGATTCGTAAAGGGAGCCAGTATGTTGCCAGGCATCTAAACGTAATTATGGATAATATCTGTAAGTGATAAATTTAATTGAGGGAATAATAGTGGTTATAAACGTTGTTAATTCACAGAGGGAGCCAGTATGTTGCCAGGCATCTAAACGTAATTATGGATAATATCTGTAACTAGTGCATCTGCTTTATCTTTATTTGCTTGGGAGAGTTTCTTATCTTACTTGGCTCTTTCATATTTTTCTAGAGTTGGTGAGCCATGAGAATGTCCTCTAACTGGTTGTTAATTTTTGTTTCAAACGTTATCTGCTTTAATACAACTTGATTGATTTTTGGCTTTGTCGAACTTGCTTTGGTTTTAACAGGAATACGATGTAGAAGATTCAATCCTGCCCTTGCAACCTTCAATAAACTACACTGCTCCTGAATTGGTTCGAAGTAAGACATCTTCTATTGGGTCTGCCTCTGATATTTTCAGTTTTGGGTGCCTTGCTTACCACTTGATAGCTCGGAAGCCTTTATTTGATTGCCACAACAATGTGAAAATGGTATATTTTATTTCCCTTAAACTTTTGTATGGTGTGTTGCTGAATGATTCTGTTGCACTTATCTGCGAAGATTGCTGAGCTTGCCTTATGATCTATTCTGGTAATTGTAATTGTATCTAGTGATCAATCACTTTCAATGTCTAGACTCTAACTTGATATATTTACTTTTATGGTCTCAGAAGTAAGTAGAAACTGAAAAACTATATGCATGATGTCTAGGCTTCTAGATTTGACTGAAACGGATATATTTCTAATTTTATATGTTTTCAATCCATAGCATTGGGTTAGTACCTCATACTTCTCTTGTTAATTGCTACCCATGATCTTGCATATTTATTCATAAATTTTCTTCTTCCATCATATTCTTTCCCGCAAGTAAGTAGATTTATTGTGAAAAAGTAACTAACGGCAAACAAAATGTAGTATACTCGAGTCAGGAATTCAGATGAGATGAGCTTACTTGTTCTGAGAAATATGTTTATTTTTATCTTTTCTAAATTTTGCTTTCGATAAGATTTCCACTTGCTAGGTGAGTAAATCTTATTTTTGGATTACCATTTTCATTTTGCAGTACATGAATAGTCTAACTTACCTAACCAGTGAAGCATTCTCCACTATTCCGAGGGATCTGGTTCCAGATTTGCATAGAATGCTATCTGCAAATGAGACTTCACGACCAATAGCAATGGATTTTACAGGTTGGGTTCCGTGCATGTTGGTTATAGATCTTTCCTTGTGTTGTTTACAATCACTAGATGTACGTAGTTCCTGTCATGCATGTATGGTGAAATCACTTGGAATGAAGAATAAGTGATGTAATTTTTCATTTTCATTTTGGTTTTTATTTAGGTGATTATTTTCGTTGATCTGAGTCTTAAGATGCAAGCTAAACATTTGCTAAATGTTTTAGTTCTCTTTTACTAGATAACTGTTCTGTGTTTGCAGGTTCGCCTTTCTTCCGTCAGGATACTAGGTTGCGAGCACTTCGCTTTCTTGATCACATGCTTGTACGCAGTTTACATTTCTGCTCAGTTTTGAAATTTGACTTACTAGGCACACGATGCAACTCGAAACTATGAAATCTGATCATGCTATTGTTTTCAGGAGAGAGATAACATGCAAAAATCTGAGTTTCTGAAAGCATTAGCGGACATGTGGAAGGATTTTGACTCCCGTGTTTTGCGATATAAGGTATGCATTTTTGGTCATGTAGTACTGTCGTGACATATTTCTTTATGCTCTTTGAGTGCAAAACATAAAATGATGGAAGATGAAAATGCATTCAAATATTGATTTGGATTAATGATCTCAACTTGTAATTTCCTTCATTAAATCTTACCCTGAACCTGCCCTGATGTATTAGACAATTAAATAAATCATTTTGTGGTTTCCAGTGTTTGTGAGCGAGTATGAATATATCTTTACACTTTTCTTGATTGTTTGTATCCGTCATTACATTTGAAGAAGTTTAATAAAATAAACTTTGACTTAAAATAACGTATACAGGTCCTACCCCCACTTTGTGCAGAGCTCCGAAATATGGTGATGCAACCTATGATTCTGCCTATGGTCCTAATTATAGCTGAGTCGCAGGTTCGATGCTATTGCATTTACTAATGAAGTGCAAGTTAATATTTCTATACATGTCATACATGGTTGTTACTTATATGATTTTGATATGCTTATTGTGAAAATTTCTAGTTTGGGAGCTAAGTTGATTCTTTCCTTGGAAGTTAGTGAAAAAGAAAGAAAAACAAGAATAATGTAGGGGCAATGTAACACTGTTTTTTTATTGATGGTTAGTGTATGGGAAATGAATCCATGACTATTGTTGCTTCATTTACGATAGATGTGAAACTTAAGTTTAATGATCTGGTGTGTTTGTGTGTTCCCTTGCACCACGTCTAATTATATTATACATGAAATGAAATTGTTTGATGAATTTGCTGAGGCTACCATTGGACTTGAGTATGTTTTTCCAATTTGCTGCAGGATAAAAATGATTTTGAGCTATCAACTTTGCCACTGTTCCTGTTTTCAATTCAGCTGCAGGTGAGACATTATTGCTACTTGTGAAGCATGCAGAGCTTATTATCAACAAGGTATTGGAAGACTTCTTTAGTTGCATTTTCACTCTTGACATTGAACTTTTTTTTTAAGCAACGAGAATTTATAGCTATGTTGGGGTCCTGTTTCTGTTTTGCCTGTCAGTCTAGTCAAGAGCACCTTATTTTGCATGTACTACCATGCTCATTCGAGCTTATGATGATACTGATGCTCGTTTGCAAGAGGAAGCTCTCAGAAAAACTACACCGCTTGCAAAACAACTTGACGTTCAGGTGATTGCTAGTTGCCTAGTTCAACTCTGATTGATGAGCTTTTTACTAACTCACTGTGACATCTATGATGAGATTACATGGAAGTATGACCAGAGCATGTGAAATTTGCGATATGCTTGTACTGTTGCCCCTAATACGATTGACTTCTCATGAGGAACCAAACCAGCATCAATGTGGTTTGACGCTAATTATTTACTAATTTCTCATTCTCTCGGTTCCTTTTCTTCCTTGCAGCTAGTCAAGCAAACTATTTTGCCTCGTGTTCATGGCTTGGCACTTAAAACAACAGTTGCTGCGATACGCCACCTTGTTTCTTATTAATTTCTGACCCGAATATTATTCCAGAATTTTTTATATTATTCAAAAAATTTGCACCTCTCTAAAAGCTACCTCTTTTTCGACAGGTGAGAGTGAATGCTCTCGTATGTTTCGCTGACATGGTTCACATGCTAGATACGACTGCTGTTTTGTGCATGTTGCAAACTATCCAAAGATGTACGGCTGTAGACCATTCAGCTCCAACTCTTATGTATACTCTCGGCGTTGCAAACTCAATCTTGAAGCAGGTTTGTGAAATTCAGTCATATTTGCAAATACGAACTGTTATTTTCCGCAATACTCTAATTTCAATTAGTTTTTGAACAATCATACACGCTCTTAATTAACTGTGGCCATTTTATGTCTCTTTGTACCACCACGGCATAGAATTTGTAGCGGAGCATGTCCTTCCACTAAATCATACCTCTTCTCATCACCCAACAATTAAATGTCCAGCAGTTTGCAAAGTATATTGGCCTTGTCAAGGATGTGTTAAGGTAGGATTGCCACCTTCCAGACAATACTTGCTACTTGCTACACTTGCCTAATATTATGGTATTAATTTGTCATCTTTCTATCCTGACGTGCATGTTGGTGCATCTAATTATAACAGGAAAATAGAAGAAAAACGAGGTGTAACCTTGACAGACAAGAGATTATCGGAAATGAGATTGTCAAATTCGGTTGACGATCTTACATCTGGGCAGATTAACAAAGCGGTCTCCACCGCCCCATCTAGTTCATCGTGGGATGAGGATTGGGTACCTGCAAGGACAGCTCAAACACCCATTTCAGTCTTCAACCACAGCATCATCATCTTCTCATCAACTCAACCCCGCCGGATATTCCACCCAGCAACCACCGCCCTCGTCTTGCCCGGCTGTCGATATCGAGTGGTGGCCATTGATATCGAGTAACAGCTTCAAACCCAGGATTGATATCGCAAATACTGCCAATGGCTTGAGCTATCAATCTTCATCATGGGGGGCCTTTGGAACAACTCAAAGAACTAGTTTATCCTCGAGTATCGGTAGTAATATGAAGCAAAATACGAGTTTGGAATCAATATTTGCGAGTAATATTGCGCCAAGGCTTGCCCCGCCACCGATGACTGCTGTTGGGGGAGGTAGAGGGCAAACAGGAGTATCACTGTACGGGCAGATGAAATCCAATAACGAGAAGCCGCCTCTGCTGGACTTGCTGTAATTTGTTGCTGCATTGAATAGTCATAAGTTGCGTTTTTTTGTCTCGGCAGATTGTGATTGGAAGTACAAAAAAGCTTGTAGAACAAACATGTTTATGTCAAATCGGAGAAAGTTTGCGTTTTTCAGCTCTGGATGGATATGGATGTCTGAAGATTGGGTCGGTTATGTAGTTTGTAGTTTTGTTTTGTAGTATAGTAATTTTGTTTTGTAGTATAGTGTGGTTTAGACCGGTTTCAGCAAATTTTCCTTGTCCATAACCTGGCAATATACATAATAAATTGATTTTGATTTTGTCAATTGTAATTACTCCCATTATATTGTAGAAGCAGAGCCAACAATCATCAACATGGTTATGGCTTCAATCTTGCGCTGCTGAAAACCTAGAATGGCTGACTGATTTTTAACATTAGTTCTTTCCAAATGAATTTTTGCACAGTTCTGTTTATTCTCCTCAACCTAAATCCATTCATGTCTTTTTACTGCACATGAAAAATGATATATTAGTATTTAGTTGACTTGATTTGGAAATGATTTTCAGTTATTAGCATAAAAATGGATCTCCACCGCAGCAAGTAGCAACAATAGTGCTAAAATGCAGCTGCTGGGTCATCATCATCATCATCATCATCTACCACAACTGTTTTTTGGTACTCATAAAATCATATAACACTTTTATCAAGTCAATAATCTTCCTATTATCTCTATATTCGAGGAAATTAAGAACAAGGAAAATAGCATAATCAGCATCATATCATATTCATGGCTTGCTCATCATGTGTTGTAGAGCAGTCATCTGCCTCGATTGCTGGCTGATAATGGAGGATGTCGATGGACTATCAGAAAGTACAATCTCATAGCCATCGGCATAAGATTCCATTCCCACGTCCAGAATCTGCCAGACTAATCCTCCACCAATCCCTCCACCCCTCGCGAAGCTGTAGAGGCTACTATAAACCGCATTCATGTACGAGTCTCTTGATGCTATGCTGAATCCTTTATCTTTACACGACTTTCCAAATTCGGTGAAAACCATGGGTTTTCTCAAGAGGGTCTTGGAGTCTCGCCAGTGGCTCGTCATCCATCTTCTCATGAATACCATCTGGGTATCATCGTCTTGTGACGATAGCCTTTAGTCATGTGGAGGAAATTAAAGTTAGTCTTAATTAGTAAGGCAGTTTCTATATATAATAATAATAATAATAATATGTTAATTACCAGGCATCAGGATATGCATGGATAGTGGTGAAATCAATCTCCTCTATAAGATTGGTAGTGATAAAATCCGTGCCGACTTGATAGCCCGGATTGTACTGCTTTCTGTCGGGAAACGAGTCTCCATAGAAACCTTCCATGCCAACTTCTAGAAGGTGCTTACTGTCGATGGATTTGACGTGTGAGGCCATTTCTTGTACCCAAGCCTGTCATATGGATTAATGCATTAGTATCAGTCTCAATGTTTGTGCAGCAATATCGTAAATGGAAAAGGATTTACAAAATAAATAAAAAAAAAAGTTAATAATAATAATAATAAATCTTTTTTATTTGGGACTCACATTCACAGTGTCTCCAGAGTAGTCAGCCTGGCAACGAGGCTCGTTTATGAGTTCCCAGGCCATGATGATCGGATCATCTTTATACGCAGCTCCAGTAATGGTGTTGATTCTGTTAAGTACTCTCTGTTCACGCACGGTCAAAATACAGGTAAGTCACTCACTCTCAGACCAACTTTAATCTGACAATATTGTTTAATTAATCTACCTGAACATGTCTTTTGTAGTATTCCTTTACAAGCTCGTTGGTATAGAAATCATCGTCACTTTTGGTTTGAGCTCCAGCATTTTTCGCCCACCTCACGTACTGAGCTCTCCCTCCAAAATCTTGGTAATTGTTGCTCAAACTTAGAATCAACCGTATTTTGTACTTGGCGGCAGCGGCGGATACAGAATTTTTTCCCAGCCAGGGCAATATGAAAAAATAAATACTTAAATTTTAAAAAAAAAAATCACTTTAATAAAAAAAATACAATCTTTTATTCAATGATGGGAAGGTAACTGTCCACGACGCGATTTCATATTTTGAAATCGATGCATTATAGCATCATTGCTAATGCTATTAAATACATCTTTCTCAATATAAACAAGTAAACTATCATCCATCCATTGATCTCCCATTCTATTGCGGAGTGGATTCTTCACGAGATTCATAGCCGAAAATACTCTTTCCACTGAAGCTGTAGCAACCAGAAGAACTAAAGCCAAATTTAGAAGCTTGTAGATCAATGCTTGTAGATCAACCTGCCTAAACTACTAAACCTTCACAAAACAACAAATGAAATCCAAAATATAATACACCCTAACCCTAACCAAATAAACTATCACAGCAACTAGAAAATAAAAAATTATCACAGCAACTAGAAAACAAAAAACTATGACAACAACTAGAAATCAAAAAATATAATACACCCTAAGTCCCTATTTAATTCCCTAACCCTGCTAGCTACCATAGACAAAATCCACGAAACAGCATATCAAGAATGGAGATAAAGCCAGTTACCAAAAAAATCTCGATTGCTTCTTGATTGCTACTCAAAAAGATACATTGAAAAAAAAGAAAAAAAAAAAGCTGAAAACTCCAAATACACACTTCAATAAATTAAATTGTTAATTAAAGGTCTACCATTTAGCATAAAAATCTAATTAGTCTTTTGATCCTATATGATGATTCCTCTTCCTCTGTTCAAAAAGGAAAATACAGGAAAAAAAAAAAAGAGACTGAAAAGTGAAAACTCTAAATAGAGAATGAATTATAATTATTGGCTGACCTTGAATCTTGATAGCTCCTTTGAGAAGTGATTTTCTTTTCGATTCTATGTATGCCTGATTCACAAAACCCAGAAAAATCAAAGATTATGGAAGAAGATGAGAGATTGGGGATCTTGCGAAGGTTAAACCTTTTTTTCTTCGGTCTGCGGCTGTGTGTGCGTAATGGGTGCAAAAATCAAGTCTTTTATTTTATTTTATTTTTTTACTTATTAATACCAAAACGACGTCGTTTTGGGATGCTTTAAAAAAAAAAAAAAACTTACCTTCGTCTTCTTCCTTCCTTGCTCTCTGCGCGAGATTGGAACCTGGGCAGAAGCTTTACTCTGACATATCCACACAATAATTCTATTAAAAATGGTAATTAGCAGCAAAAATTGAGCCTGGGCAATTGCCCAGGCTCGCCTTAATGTCCATCCGCCCCTGCTTGGCGGCTTCTGAAACTACAAAATCAAGTGCCTGCATGCAACAGTAATCAAAGCACACAATTAATTAATTTGTTTGAGTAATCTTGCTTGTTTATATATAAATTAATTATTAATGATATGAGATGACATGAATTAATCTTTTACTTTACCTGAAATACATATTCATTGTAGACTCCGGGTGATATCTGAAGAGCTTCATCTCCTCCATCACTGAAAGCCCATGTTCGGCACACGGTTAGACCAGCATTTGCTGCCTCTCGGAATACGTTGGACACTTTCTCCCTTTGGTTCGGCTGTGATGCAACGTGCATCATCCAATAAGCATTGAATCCGTTGAATATAAAAGGGGAATCGTTTAACACAAACTGTGTCCCTTTCGTCTCAACATATCCTGAATACGCCGCCAAACTCATTCTCGGCTCAAACACTAGAAACAGCAAACAGAGGAGCAGACCAACTCTTAATTTGAAGGAATATTTAGCCATATTGATTGTGAGTGTTATGTTACAGATATCGATGAGTAAGTGTTATTTATAGCTTATCTTTTGAATGAAAGTTGAGCTAAACGGGATGGGCGAAGCCAAAGATGCAGGGGTTGTTAAGGCAATTTTTTTTTTTTTGCTTGAAACATGGAAGCAATTGAGCAGAATTTCATGTGATCTGGAAATGAGAATTACATGCTCATATGCATGTGGGATTGTCTAGCATAAATCAAATGGGTGTGAATAAAGAAATATTTAACTGGGGATTGATTATGACTTCATTAGTATAAAGAAAACTGGTATGTGAGAGATTTGATGCATTAGTTTAAAGAAAGATGAATATATGATATATGGGAGGACGCAGATATGAGAAATTTAAGGATCTAACAGAAATTCTTAAAATGTGCATGAAAAAAGACAGAGTGGTACGTGCTTGAAATGGAGAATATATAATTAATATATCATTGGTTGAGCACATGTTGATGAGTTAGTTACTTGACATGCAATATTAATTAGTTCCCTTGGACACCAACATATTACTGATATTGCCAATAATGTATTCATATTGATTGCTGGTTACTTTAAATAGACATGGCAAGGGTCGACCCGGCCCGGAAGTTACGTATATGGCAATTATGAAATCTCCTTAACCATACAACATTTTTTTTTTTTTTTTTTTTTTTTTTCAAGTAGATTTGGTTATGAGGGAAGTCAAGTTTAGTGGAGATTTTTCGGTTTTGATATGGTTCAAGTATCTATAATAACTTCTCTTAAAAAAGTTGTTTCTTGAAAATCAATGTGTTATGAAAAATAGCTCTACTAAAGCCAATATCTAAAGTTATAATGCAAAACTATAAATTACTTATTGTTCTTAGATAAATATTTTTAAATATTAGGTACCTTTTTTCATGAAAATAGATTATTTATTAGATAAAACTAATATTATTAATCTAAGTCTGCTAGCCTTACATTTTTTAGATAAACTAGTAAAGTGTACGTGCAATGCACGTGATGACGAATGATTTTTTCCGATTAAGTTTAGTAAGATAAATTATTAAACATAAGATTGCATTGCAGGAACAAAATAAAATGTAGAACAAGTAAACTCTTAATGTAATTTTTTTATTTTAAACTAACATAATGATGTCGTAATATAAAAAGATTTAAATAACATATTACAATTCCAACAAAAAAATATAAAAAATGAGTCCCTAATAAAAAAAAAAAAACACTAAATAACTAAGGAAGGATCTAATGTATATTACAGCTGCATGAGTTCTTTTATTTATTTATGGTAGATTCAAGAGTGATTTTCTTTCATTTTAGTCTTGACATTCTCATAACAAACATTCATACTCTCGTTGGAGCTCAACACATCAATAGCATTGCAAAATTTTTTCTTAATTAATTTAGCAAAACGTCTGTTTTATTCAACACTTAGAAATATTTTAGCCAAACATATAGTCAAACATCATGTTTATATGATTATTATAAGATATTTTTACTAATTGTTCATAAATATCTCTGTGAAATAACCAACTGTGTCATTAAAATTCTTGATATTTTTTTAGTCATTGTATAAACTGCTACATTACTCTCTCTCTCTCTCTCTCCATATAGACAAATTGGTATCTACCTCATGAGGTGGGGATGAATTTCATCCCTAAACAAAAGTTGACTTTTCAAAATCATGTACTTTTCCAGAGACGCTAAATTAATTTTTGAAATCATCACATAATTATATGAAAGTATGTACTCTAAAGTAATTGTGGTTATGACCGAGCACAATACACAATTAAGATTGTAAACATTCCTATCAAAAATTGACAACTTATTCGAACATTCAAAAATGTTTTGATCAGAATCAGACATTTCATTTTCAGTGTTATTTATTTGGAATATAGAGAACTACATCACCTATTATATTAAAATCATTGAACAGTTTGGTTGTTGCAATGATTTTAGAGTTGTTTATCATAATATCTTTTTCATTTGTTTGGATTTGCGATATTTATGCTTATTTAATGCATTTATTGTCCAACTTTTTGCACCATACATAATGCTTCGAAAATTCAAGATAAATATCATTTCTTGATTCTTCAATAATAACAAAACAAAACAGATAATGAGACAAATATCGAGAAACATATCACTGTCAAAATATTTGAGATGAGAAGAATTTGAATTCTATAATACTCTAATACTCTTAGTCACTGTGAACTTTATTATTATGAAGTCATTATTGAAGTTTATCTTCTATAATATGATAATATGGAATCATTATTTATGAGAACCAATTTCTTATAGATAATATATATTTAAATGTTAGCAACAAAAAAGTAGTAATTTTAAAATATTTTTGTTTCTTGATATTTGTATCCATACTTTTCTAAAAAAAATCAGACTTTTTCTTTTTTCTATTGCATTACAGTTGCTTTATTTGTTTTTTATTTTATTCACAAATAATATTTTATTTATTGAAAGAATTAGAGCACATTTATATGCATTGCTTTTTTTTTTACGTGTAATAATATATTTGATAAAAATATACTTTTATATTGTCTGTAAGATTAAAAAGTTTGAATTTTTTTTCATTGTTTGATAAAATATTAAGTAACCAACTCACTATCATATTCACAAAAAATATATTTTACAACTGCTACAGTTTAACATACAACTCATTTATTTTTTCTTTTAATTCACATAATTAATGTTGGTAATCGTTGTACGTTTACATCTATTTGCACTTTTTTCTTAGTATGAATATTTCAAATCTATGTAAGAAAAATACACTACAAGTTTATCTAATCTTATTTATTAATTAATAAAATTGAGTTAACATGGATCTATAATTTATTTTATAAGATACTTTTAAGTTGTATATCTTAATATTATACCATATACAATTACAATTTTCTCACTAATATTATAATCAATTAGTCATAACTTATAAATTAATCAATAATAGTGTCGAGTCATCTATACTATAACATAGATTTTTTGTTCATCAAATTTTAAAATATATATTATTTTCAATGATTTGCTTAATTTTAGTTGAGAAAAATTATGTCTTTTTTAAATACTTTTAACTTTGTAACTGTATAGATTTGCTAAACATGTATTAAAAATGAGAAAGATGACAAATTATGAAAAGTATAATTTATATATTGTAATGACATTATGTTATTTTGATGATATATTTTTTCTATTAGCTAAATAGTGCCTCCAATATGAAATTGTTTGTATCTAACACTACAATTAGCTTTCCAATGCAACTTTCATTGAATTTTTTACAATTCCAATAAAAAAAATTTCCAACGTAGAAATATGTTCCGAAAGAAAAATCAAATGAATTCACACAAGAAAATAAATAATGGTAATTCGAATAATTAAATCCACTAAAATTCCATTATAATTTAATTTGATCGATATTGGAATAGCCAGTGATATTTTCCAATGAAAGCTATGCAAATGAAATGTCCCTTTGGAATTTTTAGTGGAACACCTTATCGTTCGATTTTTCATTGCAATATAGCATTTTATTTTTTGCATTTCCTTTTAAACATTAAAATTTTTATGTTATAGTTTTTCTATTAATTAATTGCGTTTACAATTTATTTTATTAAAAATATGTTAAGCACATGATCAATTTTTTAGTCCATATAACATTATGGAAATCACTCGTTATTTTAAAGCAAGATTACCTATTAATTTCTCAATTCAATTACAACCTTTTACGTATTAATATTAAATACAAAAATAATTATTATTTTATATTGTAATATAATATTTATATATTATATTAAAAAACTAATAGCAAATAAAAAGTTATTTAAAATTTAAATAATTACTTTTTTAAATATTAAAATTTCCAACCTACATGGATAAAAGTACAAATAACCATTATCTATTACCTAAAACTTACACATAGAACTAATAAGCACAAAAAATTAAAAAGAAATAAACAATTCGATTCATTTACATCGATAAGTATAAGTTTTAAAAGTTTTATGTTTACTTTTATTAGTTATAAAATTTTTATTTATTATTTGTTTTCATATTTATTAGTAAGTCTTACACCTTAATTATATTTTTAATGTTATTCATCAAATTTAATATTTTTTTACTTGCATATTGTCTTTTATTTAGCTCACATCTTGAAAATCAATGGTTCAAATAAAATAATAATAATTAAAATATCATGATATTTTACTTAATTATTGAATGTAAAATCCATATATTTTAAGTGTTGTTAATTAAAATATTACTCACTTTGATATTAACCATCTAATGGTCAAGTGAAAATTCGTTAATTTTATTCACTTTGTGACTAAAATTGGAAAAAACAAACAAACAACCAAATGACGATTTTTGTGGGATCGAAATTCAATCCAGTAAAACTAAAGTGCAATTTCTATTCTAATTCTAAATATAAGAGTTTACTTTTCTTAAATTATGAAGTAGTTTAATGAATTGTTCAACTTTTATAGTTTGTCAGATAATGTATAAAATTATATTAAAAAGAAGGATTTTTTCAAAGCTTTGTTGTTTAGGTTGACGTTGGGTTGATTTTTGGGAGATATGTGGAAGAAAGCAATTTTGTGAGAAATAATGGTGCGTGAATATTTTGTTTGATTTTTAGAAGATGTGAAATGTATTGTTCATTTATTTGTATTTTATTAATTAAGCATCAGTTATTAATTAAAAATATAAGATATGATATGTATTAGTGTATTACTAATTTACCATTAAAAACATGTTAAAGTAAGAATTTTTTTAGGTAATTCATTTTTTTTAATTAAAAATATAAAATAAATATATATTAGTGTCTTACTAATTTGCCATTAAAAATATGTCAAAGTAAGGTTATTTTAGATAGTTCATATTTTTACAAAAACACTCGTCCTTTTAGAGTAGTATAGATAGATAGATACAAGGCTAGCAGACTTAAATTGGATAGATGTAACATGTTGCGGATGTACAAAATCAATATTAAGGAGCCA